TTCTCTCTCTCTCTCTCTCTCTCTCTCTCTCTCTCTCTCTCTCTCTCTCTCTCTCTCTCTCTGTCTCTCTCTCAGGGTTTATCAGCACAAAGGAACTCAGATTGGATTACACTCAGACTCTCTCTTTCTCTAAGCTCTCAGGGTTTATCAGCACAAATGACCACAGATTGGATTACACTCAAGACTCATTTTCTCTTCACCGCAGACCATTAGGTGCAAGTGTCTGCAACAGTACATTCCGCTCACCGGAGCCTCACCATCATAGTTTTCTGTAATTTTTCTCGAGTGAAAAGGAAGAAGGGACAAACGAGAATAAACGGCCGCTTGCAGCAAAAACAAAGCGGACGTGATTTGAAAAGCACAAGAAACAAATCAATGGGAAAACAAAAGCAAAAAAGCAAGGTGAAAAAATAAAACAACGCGTACACATGGCATTTCAACAGCCCCACCTACACACAGTCCAGAGGACTGCTACTCCATGAAAGAGTAACGATTAAAACTTTTTCCCGTCCACTTTTCTCTTGCCGGTTGATCCCCCGTTCCACTTCGTCCGCCGCACAATAGGAGAGTACGCTACCGGCAGATGGCGCGTCTACGTACCGCTCACCTACCCAACGTCACAGTCACTGCATGATGATGTTGATACAATGGCGCGCACTTGAGCCTCGAGCATCGAGCACCCTACCTGTCCCACCACCTTTCTGACTCCAATTACCCGCCCGCCTCCGCCAAAACAAATTGGCGCCATTTTTCACTTCTCTTTCAGAGCTCAGCTTAAAATTGGCCCCTTCTGTGCCTCTCTCACTTCTACACCTCTGCAACCGCTAGCATCATCGTTCCCACCCTGTTTGTGACTTAAATTACCCGCACCTGCCAAACGCACATTGGCACCATTTCCCCATTTCTCTTAGGGAGCGCAGCTGGTAGCTATGGATGGTCCCCCTCGGTTTGGAGAAGCCAAGGACGCTAGCGGTAAACGTCACCACCTCCCCCCTCTCCTCTCTCTCCCATTCCCTGCCACGTGCCTCCACGACTAAAGAGCATCTCCACACTACGTTAACATTTCAAGAGAATGCGTCCTTGGTTGCGGTCGCGTACATCAATCCATGGGAAAGACGAGTCCTCGAACAAGCATGAACTTGAGAAGTTCTTACCCCCCCACCCCAAGCATAAACTTGAGAAGTTCTTAACCCCCCACCCCACCCCTCCTCCAACCCACTCTGTACTTTTTCTTTCTCCTGCTCTAGTTGTGCCAGCCCTTGCTTCTTCGAGGTTAAATAGTATCACTGAGTCGCTGAAGCTGATTGGCGCGGAGGACGGTTTACGGCCGATTTCGACTGTGAGCTGATCCTGATCCTCCCACTTACTTCCGCATCAGTAACGGAAAGACAGATGGTCGAAAGCCAGCTACCTACCTACCTTTCTCCCTCCCTCTCTCCTAATTGCCACTAACAATTTGTGCCTTATAGTCCCATCGCCTCACGTTCTCTACGTTTTCCCCGCTGCTCTTGGTAGGTCTCTAACCGGTGCCTCCCACAGTTTGACTTTCCGATCAGGACCACCGGTGGCAAGCACCATTGCGTTGACTCCTTTCCCAGTCTCGTGTCGTTGCGGCGACCATTGCAAGCACGACACGTGTCCATCGTGAGCGGTCTCTGCCGTGTCCATCACCTCCCCCGTCTCCATGTCCAGCCAACGAAGCATAGGCCCAATCGTGCATGCCAAAATTCTGTCATCTGGTGAGAGGGCCAACTTGTCGAAGCAAGGCACGCCACCCTTTGGCTGACTAGGGTGTTCGGGGATGTCGAAAGTGTGCAAGCAGCGCGGATCCTCGCTCAACTCGTATCTAACGTTGATGTTCCAAACTTTGATCTTCCCGTCCTTCGAAGCAGTAACCACCTTCTGTGAGTCATGAGCAAAGCAGAGCCAAGTGACAGCGCTCTTGTGCCCTTTCAGCTGCATCGCCTTGGCTACCTCCTTCACTTGTCCGTCCTTCGTCATGCACACCTCCCAAATCTTCACATCGCCAGTGAAAGCAGCGGCCGCCAAGAATCGCCCGTTGGGAGACAGCGCCGCCATATGATTGCACAGTTGATTGGAGTCTACGGTCCCAACGCATCGCCCATCTGCGACCGTCCAAACTTTCACATCAGTCCCTTCAGAACACGAGGCCACAATAACCCCACCCTTGGCATGCTGCCCGTGGGTCATCGAGGCTGCACACAGTTTGATGATGGATCTCTTCTCATGAACTTGATGCTTTTCCCACTTCAACTCCGGTTCTGGGAGCTTGGAGTCGTCGCCTTTCCCCGCCGCCTGCGCCGCCGCTGCTGCTGTGCTTGCAGGCCCATAGAGAGACAGCGAGGCCCCGGACAAGATCTGCCCCGCCACTACCACCTCCGACGCATTGTCCCCAACTACCACATCGACTGGCATGATCCCGACAGGCATGTTGATTCTCAAAAACTTGAAGCTTTTCGCGGTCACGTCAGCAACCTTGAACACCCTAATTACTCTATCTGTACAGGCTGTTGCAAGATTACGCCCATCGGGGGAGAAGTGCAACCCCATTACCGCGTCCATATGGCCCTTCAGAGTGTTGAAGCAAAGGGGATGTTTATGCTGCTGCGCCTTCTCGGCGCCGCCGCCAGAGGCCTTCCAGTGAGAATGCGAATGCGTTGGGACCTTTTTCCTGGGATGAGCGACTTGCTTTTGCGCGGGTTTGTCCTCGACAGCGGTGTCCTTGGTTGACGATGAAGACGACGGAGAGGAAGCACCAGGAAGACGGAGCACAAACAGCACGACCAGCAAGACAAGTGTGACTGCTCCTACTGCAGCCGCCACGAACACAGGCGGATCCAGCCCAGCAATCGCCATAGCCGGGGATCCCCCAGCAGATCCTGCCATTCTTCCCCTCTACTCTTCCTCCCTTGTTCCTCTCCCCCTCTCTGATCAACTACACAACGCAAAAAGACACCAATCACTTCAATAAACGGCCCCCCTTCCTCCTCAGAGTTCCACCTATGATCAATCGGTCAAATAAGTAGCCAGGCTATCAATCAACAGATGCAGATCTGAACTGCAACAGAAGGAAGAGACAGTCACAGAGTCACAGAGCGCTCAACAGATGCAGATCTGAACTGCAACAGAAGGAAGAGAGAGTCACAGAGCGCGGGTGAGAGGGGAAGAGAGGCAATGAGCCCCAGATTACCGAAGCGAGATCTCCAATCAACCGCCGCGCATCGTAAACGAAAGAGGACAAAGGAGCAAAAAAACACAGTGAGAGAGAGAGAGAGAGTAAAAGATGAGAGAAAATGGCTTCTCACCGAACTTCCTCTCCCCCACACCACTTGACTCTGGATCTAAGAACCGGTTGGCAAGCAAGCTAACGGACAAATTACACCGTCTGATGCGGCTGGTAGACAGATAGCGGACTCTTCTTCCTAGCGGCCACGTCTGCAGCCCCTGGAGGTCTCCACACTCCACCTCACATTACAGACCGTTTGCTCTCGTACTAAAGATACCCTGTCAAAAGAATCACCCCTCTATCGGCTCATATACCGACATTTACACCGCTAAGCCTCGACCACATGAATAGGGCAACCCTCGCCGCCGAACAAACAACAGAAACAGAACTGCGATGGCCTTCCGTTGACGCGATGTTGGAAGAGATTGCCAGCAACAAAGCGCAGCTTACATGGCGCCCACAGAGAGTTGGCACGCGCAACGTCATGCAAACACACACTCAATAACGTCCCCCGCCAGACTGCAACTCCAATCCCAGACTTGTTCCTGTACCCAAAAACAAATGGCACAGTTAGCAGATAGACGACTTCATATGCTCGACTACCGTAGCTTACCTGTTACAGCTGCGGCCGCAAAAAAACAAACACGGAAATTCTGCAAACAAAAGCGAAGAGCATGAGTGGTGTGGTTGCCTGACTGCAGTTGGTTAGCAACTGGCCAGTTCTGTTCTGTTCTGTCCCAAATACTTTCATATCTATTATTACCTTGTCAGCACATCTGTCTCCTAAGTGCATAACAACTATTCTCTTTCACATGTCAGAAATACACTATTCTTCGCACTTGGAGGAATTCTTAACAGTTTGCTTTTTCTTTTCCTGCTTCCAACAATAAAAGCAAGCCACACAAAAACGACACCTCTCTCTCTCTCTCTCTCTCTCTCTCTCTCTCTCTCTCT